AGTGATTTTGTCTTAAATTAAGGCACCAGAAGAGTTCTTACACTGTTGAAACTGATTACATTGAACATTTTAAGTAACACAAACTTAGTTTTGTAAATTAAAAAAGATTCTTGAGTAGTCAGTTTTTACTAGTTTTAAGTGACACCAACTTAAGTTTTTTAAGTTACAGAAATATTCCTGATTAAGTCATTTTACTTAAAGAATTAACTCAGTGTCACTTAAAAATAACTAAAACTACTTGATCAAGAGTGTTATCTAATTTACAAAACTGAGTTTGTGTTACTTAAATGTTCAACGTGAGCAGTTTCAACGATATTTTTTGAGCTTTAAACTTTGATGTTTTTGTTTGTGTGACTTGTCTTAACATTTTATTCGCTGTATTCTGGATTTGGCTCAGACGACATGACGAGGTTGTTATGATTTAGGGAATATTAAAGTTTTACTTCCAGGTTTTGAAAGGGGTCTCTTGACCTCTGACCTCAAGATATATGAATGAAAATGGGTTCAATGGGCACCAACGTCTGTCCCCACCACAGACTCAGAGACACCCACTTTATGCTAATCTCATGCAGTTTTGGCTTTCAGGGTTCCCACGCGTGCTGGAAAACCTGGAAATTTAAAGACTAGTTTTCCAATTATTGAAACACCTGGAAATAAAATGAAACTACCAAATATCCTGTAAATAATCTACGTTGTTGTGGAAACTTTTAGTTGAATTTCAGCCTGTGTTGTGGCCACATTAATGTTATGGTGAGAGGAGTTAAACGTCTCGATTGATGAGCCTTTTAAAGATATTCACAAAGATCAGTTATTCATCCTGCAACCCATTAAAGGAGCAGTGTGAAGGATTTAGTGGCAACTAGCATTTGAATACAGCTCAGCCTTCCTAGTGTGTGGGAGAAGCTACGATGGCCGTAAGCCTATCTAGAGGCAGTGTTTGGTTATGTGCTACTGTAGAAACATGGCGGTCCAACATGGTGGACTCCGTAGAAGAGGACCCCGCTCTATCTGTAGAAAAACGGCAACAAAAACACAACAATTCTTATTTTTAGCTTTTAAAATGACACCAATTTGCATTTTCATGTAAAATTACAGGCAGGAAAAGACAAACGTATGAGAGTGAATCCAGCATCTGTTCTCTTCTTCACGTACATCTGTAATTTGTCTTCAGTTGTGCGGCGCTTCCCACATCGACAGCCTATCAGAGAGGAGGAGATTTACCCTGCACACACACACACTAGAGATCAGACTGTACACATTATATCATGTAAAGCTGGTAGTTGATCTTATGGCTGCGGCTGCTGCGACTTGGGAGCTACGCTAACAGGAAGTAGAACCTCATCCTGGATTATAATCTAAGCTCAAAGTAATCTTTTTTTCTCCTTTTATGTATTAATATGCTCAAAGGAAGTCTGGAATATAATTTGCCATTTGTAATGGATAATATCGCAGGCAAAGATTTGTAGGAGGGGAGGAGCGAGGGGGGTTTGGACGAGCAGCAGCAGCAGCAGCAGAGAGAGGAAGAGTTGTTCTGGTTCCTGTTGTTTCTGTGGAAGTGGAGAGAATGAATCCCTTAATAAAGGCGGCAGCACATCATTCGGGGCCGGCGGAGGGATGCACAGAAATCTCACCCAAGGAGCCTCAACAAGATTATGAAGATTTGATATATCTGCTGGGAGGCGAAACACAGTGGCTGCATATCGAAAGCCGGGATTAGTTTTCATTTGGTCTCCTCTGGCCTGGCCCCGAACCATGAGGCTAGAGCGCGGGCGGCGGGCTTCTCTGGCGATCACCCTCAACATTGTGGCGTTTGCGTTCGCCTTGTCGGCGGTGACCACCAGCTACTGGTGCGAGGGGACCAGGAAGGTGGCCAAGCCCTTCTGCACGGGGCCGCCGATGAAGGCGAAGCAGTGGTTCTGCATCCGCTTCAACAGCTCCAACATCAACGACAGCCGGCTGGTGCAGTACATCTTCGAGACCGGGGAGGAGAAGTTTCTGCTCAAGAAGTTCCACACGGGGATCTTCTTCTCCTGCGAGGAGGCCGCCGACATGAACGGTAAGGCCGACCACGAGCGTCAGCTACACTGTAAAACAAATCTGTAGGTTTACAGGTTTTTCACTGTTTATTTTACAGATCTTTTCTGTTTTTTTTTTTATTTAAATTACAAATATTAATAAAATTATAAATTATAGTCTGTGAATTTACATCTGCAACTGTAAATAATCATAAAATTGCTGCTTATTTAAAGAAAATGTCCCCCCCCCATAAAGTCAGTTTATTTAATAAATTAAATTGTTTAATACATTTCTAAAAGTATGTAAAATTACTGATAATAGACAGTAAAAATAAGTATTTCTGTAATTTTACATGTATTTGTTTGTTAATTTGCAGATATCTTGTATAATTATGGAAGTTTTCACAACAAAAACGTCCAATAAATGTTTTTTATCAGTGTATAAGGGTTGGTAAACTGTCACAATACAGTTATTTTATCACTGAAAACAGCAACAATTACTGTAATCTCACAGATATTGACTTTTATTACAGTTATATAACTTTTAATACGTTTAACTACTTTACTTACTGCTCGTTTGCTTAATCTATTATATACATCATAGTTAAATGGTTATATTTTGTATTAAATCTGAATCTTCAAAGTAACTTTTAACTAAAGTTGTCCAATAAATGTAGAGGAGTAAAAATTACAACAGTTATATTGTCCAATAGAACAAAATCTTATTTATAGTATAAAGAAAATTAATAAAATCTGAGTAAAAAACTTTATTTATATATATAACAGTGAGTTCTTTATTGTATTTATCACAGAAACATCCTGAACTCACTATCTACCATATTAAAATAATATATTATAATAAGAATAAGGTGATATTATAAATTGATGACAGTAGGTATATATACTGAAGTGAGATCAATACTTTGCTTACACCCCGTTTTAGTGAGTAACTGGTGCTTTAAAGCTGGCAGTAGCTCATTTTATTAAAAATTATGTTGTTGTCATATGTTGCTGGAAACTTAATGTATATCCTGACAGTAGAACACGAGACAGATAATCTGGGGAAAAAATCAGCGTCCTCAGCTCGCTCCTAGTGCCCCGAATGGGGATGTAGGGGAGAATCCACCAGCCCGAAGTGAGAAACAACCGATCAGAGCCGAGAGAAAGAGAGTTTGGCGGTTTTAGTTTCTCATCTCACAGGTCGGTCAAATACAAACTGGGAACGGAACTCAAACAACAACCTCTATGTTCAAGCCTCCAACCTAAAAGTGTCTTATAATCTTTCCTCGGTCTGCGAGGAGAACATAGTTTTTTGTTCCGGGCCCGGTGGATTCTTGCCAAGATGTCATTCGGGAGCACTTAGAACGAGGCCAGAGGAACCTGATTTTTTTCACAAGATTACCTGTCTCACATTTTCTACTGTCAGGATTTAGTGAAAGTTTCACAAATTCGACAAAGAAATATGGTTTATAGAGAAGTTACCTTACTGCAGGCTTTAAGATCCGCCCATAAAAACTTGGGGTTTCTCTTAAGGTTTGGTCTTGATGAAAGCATTAAGAGAATAGCATTATTAGCTATAATTATTTAGGGATTTTAAAGCTCAAAAGGTTGGATTAACCAGCATTGTGAATTGACTCTACAATGGAGTACATAAGAAAATAGTCCAAAGACTGTTGGTGATGAGAAAGAATCGTGAGAATATTATTCAGTTTGGTGTAGGTATGATATCGTCTTTGGGGCTCAAATAAAATGAAGTTAAATGTTTGTGTTGTTGGTGTATGAAATACGGATTGTTTAAAGCATCGCTAAACATGGAGCAACAGGAACCAGATTAAAGACGTTGCACGCGAGCCGTCGCCGTTTGGGTTTCATAAGCTGCTGAGTAAAGGATAAATGATTGATCAGGATTCGCATGCAAACAAATGGGTGTAATTCTGACCTCCGCGCGAATATTATGCAGTAGCATGAAAGGTGCGTTTATTTATTTTATGGTAACCTTTATTGTAACTAAGTCCCTCTTAGACAAAGACAGCACAATTGGTAAATAGAAATACGAAAACACAAGAAAGGGATGGACTGAAGAAGGCAGCCGTAAAGATGACACTGTGTATGACAAAGTTTTGATGCAGAAGAAAGCTCCAAAGTATTTAAGTGTGTAATATTTGCAAGAAAAGTTTGAGTAAACTGATTGGTTTCTATTAATAATTTACGTCTGTACGTCCATTTACATTTGACTCGGTAACCTAGTTAACTTCCATTAATTAGTTTAATGGGGTATAGCAAATGCACAAAAGACTGTATCTATCTTGCTGTGAAATATGGGGAAAGTAATAAAGTAAGACTGAAGATTATCCAAACATTTGCCGTACAAGACAGAGCATGAAAGATGTCAACAAAGTGATAGAACATTAAAGTTTGCCAAAAGATAAATTGGAATTAATGAAATTTTTACTTGGTTTAAGAAGCTTTGAAACAAGAAAAGCTTTTAAGGAACTCTTGTTTGTGCTTAGGTTATTTTTTGGTTATTTTAAAATAGTTTCTTCAAGGACATTGATTAGGGATTTAGCAGGAACCCGTAAAAAGTACAATAAACTCAATTAGATGTGTTGTAGTGTTTGTTTCTTCTGCATCACGAGGGGTTTGACCTGTCGAGGACTTCTCAGAGGATTGCACCAGAACATGAAAGGAGGTTTGAAGAATTGAAGCGTTGGAGGCATTGGTTAAATGGCCACGGTAGAAAGTTGTTGTTTCTGGTCAGGCCGAGCGAGGACTCGGTGTGTGTTATGTCAGTTGGTCTGACAGCTTTAGTGGAAAGGAAGTCCCTAGCAGGGAGATAGGACCTTTAGGTTAACCACAAACGAGTGAAGTTATCGAGTTATCACTCTCCACCAGACGTCCATTAAAAAAACAGTAATTTTAGCGTCCAGTGGGATTCATCGTGAACTTCATTCAAAACTCACCAAAATCCATCTCTGAGTGAGTCTTGTCCAAGCCATCACAAATCTGGTTTGGTGGAGAGAGGTAAATCCTTAATTCAACCGACGTAGGATGATAAAAGAGGCAGTTGGAGAACCAAATGGATTGTATTAGCAGTTAGAAATGTGTGGCCAGACTGGCTTTAAAACAATACCACGATTTGACTGGGAGAAGCGGGTACACAGGCAGAGGAGTCATTTAGCTCCAGCTAGATCGTGTTATATGGGGAAGATATAGTTGTTTGTAGCGTCATTACATTATCCGATAAAGTCCCTTGTTTCTATGTAACACTCAGGATATTAAAATCACTTTTATTCTGCTTACTTTAGTCATTCCTGCTAGAAATAGACACAAAACACAACGAAAGCGTTAGCGATTGGGTCGGCAGATTTGCTGTCGTCGTAGAGTTGAGGTCTTCACACCCCCATCAAACCCCCAATGTTCGCATTCTGTGTGAAAAACTGATGTGTGAATTAATTAATCATCAAAAAGACGACGACAAAGGCAACCATATGAAGTTATAGAGGATATAATGCTGCAGCTTTCAGGGAGCAGGTTAGCTAATGAACATATGCAGCGTTTTATAATGTGATCTCTAGTTTGTAATATCATCCTAACTCACTTTACTCTGGCTATATTTTCTTTTTTAACTCCAGTTCCACCATCTTCTTTCCCCTGCAGACAAAAAAATAAGATATTTATTTTAACCGACTAGTTTTTCTGGTGTCGACTAGCGAGATTCGTAGCTTGTAACCAACCAGTCGACTAAACAACACTTCAAAAATAAACCACGTTTGGGCGAATTTTCTAATTTCAAATAAAAAGATTCAGCTCTTTTACGTCGCTGATGGAAATATCTACACGTACAAAAACCACAATCGGGTGTGTCTTGTATGTTACGAACAACTAGCATCAACCGCCGCTGTCCTATAATATATAATTATAATATATAATATATAATAAATCTGTCCAGTCTAAAGCAGAGGACCTGTCGTACCCACAGACGGAGACAGAGTGGGATTATTCATCAGGGACAGGATATTTATTACGAGGACAACTGAACTCACTCCTTGTTCTCTAGGGGTCCTGTGGTTGTGTATCGTGGCTGAGAGTCTGTACCTCACCCTGCTCTTCACGGGCGGCGCTCTGATGACCCTGGAGCAGTGTCCCTGCTTCAGCATCATGAACAAACTGAAGCTCAGTGCCTTCGCCGCCATGTGCACGGCCCTGTCAGGTAACACTGCAAACAACAACAAGGTCTGAATGTTGTCTTTCTGTCTGTCACTGAGGCAACAGACTAGCAGAGTGTATCTGCCTGTTTTGAGCGATACAGACGTCCCCCTGCTGTGTGATAAAGCTGCTACACACAGAAATCCCAGTACAGTTATACAAACATCTCATCTGGAGGCAGAAATAATCTCACTGGTTCATGTTAACCTCAGTGTGCAAGACTGAATGAATCACAGTGTGCTGAGAACACAGGAGTTATCTCTCCGTTCACTTACTGAACGTATGAATGTAAAGTGGTCGTATTTTTCTTTAAGTTCAGGGAAGCTGCTGCTCGTTAATGGAGGTGGTTTAGTTAATCAGACGCACATTCATTAGTTTGTACTACTAATTACTAATTAGCTGTTAAACAATGTAATCAGTAATCTAATCCTAGTATGAAAGTATTAAAGTAACCTCAATACCAAATAAAAACGAGACAATAAAAGTATACATATAAGTGTATTTTAAGACAACAGAACGATGTAACGATAGAAAAGAAAATAGAAACAGAAACAACTTTTAGCATAAAAAATGTGTCAACTGTATGTAAAATGTATTTTAAAATTGTATTTGTGCTAAATAATCCCCATTTTTACTAAATGTTACTGAACTCCCTAAACCTGCTCGTACACATTTGTTATAGAGCGAGTTAATATTTTTATATTCTAATCTAATATTCTAATAAAAAGCAGTTTTGTAAATAATATGTTATTATCAATTATATTAAATACAATGTGTGTATTTTGTTTTAAACTTGATTGTTGGCAGGATAAAATGTATGTCACCTAAAAGTGATGCAAGGTGGAAATAACTTTAAATAAATCAAAATAAATAAATGTTACTTTATTGACTTGTTAATGTAGTAAATTTGACAAAAAAAA